TAAAGTGTCTCTGTTGCTTCCTCCTCTGTAACAGCTGTCAATGTTTCTTCATTATTTTCCTGTAGTAAAGAAATAAACAACATTGCTGTTCTACTGTAACCTCATATAATCTGTGGAGTATTACTCACAACTGCATGTTGGTCTGGCTCAACAGGAGGCTGCACCAGATGCAGTACACCACCACCATCAACTGATAGAATATGAGGTTTATACAGGTCACTTATAACTTACAAGGGACCAAATGGCAATTAACAAACATACCAATCACCTTACACTTCATTGTCATTATGCTCTCAAAGACAACCAAGACTGAGGGAAGGCAAAATCAGTAGGAAAATAACTTCACTACAAAATAATCCATTATGGTAAAGAGTTTATCAAATGAATGAGTAGCACTGCAAAGGTGACTGTGAAGAAAGGATGTATGCACATCATGTATTATTTTGAATTTACCCCCTATGTAGGCACTTGTTTCTTGCGGGGTTATTGACTCAGAGGATGTCCCCGCAGAGATGCCTTCGGCCACAGGGCGCCCACTGTTTTGGCTGTGGGCCAACTGCTCAGCCTCTGTGAGTGGTGGTGGTGGAGGACCCCCACCTGTTTTTCGGGCCTCCGCTTTTTTTCTGTTGGCTATAACGGGCCACATTTGAGCATACAGAGTAAGCAAATATGTACTTGTAATGTGCTCAGATAATTTCAATAAGTGCTTACAGAAAGGAAATTAATGTAGCCTCTAACTGCAATTGATTTACATGGGACAAACAGACCAAGCACTATGGCTCATAATACAATTACACCTTACCTGTTTGGACTATATTTTTATATTTCATTTTTACTTGCTGCCAGGAACATTTGGGGCCTGTTGGGTTGCACCTGCGCTCACATCACGTCACAAAATAAAATGTATAAAATAACAAATAAAATAACATATGATAAAATAACGTGTTAAATGGGTGGAAATCCCTAGATCAATGTTTATATTAACACTCACGCATTGACTCTGTCGGCTATGTTTTGCCATGCATGCTCCCTGTCTTTTGCAGCTGTGGCTAACTTTACTTTTTTCCGCGGAATTTGCATGTTATCGGCATATGCTGCCATCAGAATTTCGGCCTCAAGCGCTGTAAAATACATTGACCGCGCCTTCTTTCCCTCCGTCTCCATGGTGACTCGCTTAATCTGTGCTCCGCTTATCAGGGCTTTATGTATCCTCGTCCGCGCGCTTCACTTGGGGTTAAAGCAACTCCGCGTTGACTGAACTAATTGTTATCAGCCTTTCTGAAACCGAATATTCCGAGTTGGACAGTTCGGGGTTACTCAACCCTGAGTATCGTTTTTCACTCTGAGTTTTCTAAACCGGCTTCCTGAAATAGGGCCCAGAACTGGAAGAAAAAACCCTGAGTAGAAGCTCACATCAAGAAAATAGCTCCTCGGTTCAGAGTAGCATCGCGCTGCTAACATGCTAACAACACATTTGAGCTACTCACCCCCTCCCTTCCTGTGCTGAATCATAAGCATAAGCGAATCACTCAGGACTCGCTCACCCCCTCCCTCCTGTGCTGAATCAAAGAGCGAACGAATCACTCAGGACTCACTAACCCCCTCCCTCCTGTGCTGAATCAAGGAGTGAGCAAACGAATCACTCACTCACTCACCCCCTCCCTCCTGTGCTGAATCATAGAGCGAGCGAACGAATCACTCATTCACCCCCTCCCTCCTGGCTCACAGCTTCTTCTTCTTCTTGGTTGGCAACCAATATTAAGGCGTATTACCGCCCCCTGGCTCACAGCGCAGTGGACATTTAGATAAGAAAATATATAATTGACACACTTAAGGAAAATACTAATAAAATACAAATAAACAAAATAAATGTTTATTAAGCAATTTTGATAGGAAATTGCTTAATTTTAGAAATGTTTTTGCTCTTTTTTTCTCTACAAAATAGTTTTTTGTTTTTTTTTAAATCATCCATCTTAGCAGTGGGATTTACATGAAAAGGGAAACAAATTAAGTTTGAGTGAAAATGTAAAATTTTTGCACTCTCTGGTCAACTGACTCAGTGAATCAAATGACTCAAAACTCCCGATTCACTTTGGTGAGTGACTCATTAACACTCGATTCAGTAAAAAGAATCAAATTTACCATCACTACTGCAGACCGTGACAGGTATAATGTTAGGCTGTGGTTCACCCTAAATCCAGACTGGAATAGGGCTGGGCCATATTATACCGTTCACGGTAATACCGGTATAATGTTAGGCAACGATAGGAAAATGAAATATCGCGATAGAATGGGAGTAAAACGCGCATGCGCAGTGCCTTTGTTTTCATACGCACATGGCCGATTGTTGAGTGAAACAGATGAACCAGAATTGGTTTGTAAAAATGGTGCAACTTCCGTGATGTGGAACTGGTTTGGTGTTTGTCCGTCAGATACACAACAAAGCACATTTTTTTGCAGAACATGCAAGCGGCCGTTGTTATTGTCATATTTGTCGGACTAAGATGCTCTTAAATCTGGGAGTAATCTGGGTCCTAAACTCCGTATACTTCAGGTCAAACAACACTGCAGCATCACTTAGAGTTAAAAACTGTCTAAATTCTTTCATCTTTAATAAAACGATCAGCATTGCTGCTTTACCAGGTGTAACTATGAAGTTTAACTTCCAGGCATCCATGAAAACAAAATTTTTTACATTTAACGGAGTTAGAAGTTAACAGGAAGCTAGCGGAAGTTAGCTCGCTAGTTACCTAAGCATGATATTGCATGTTCTGACTGAGAGATTTCTGAAAAAATTCAAACGTACAGCTCTGCTTTCACTTCCAACATAAATGAAGACAGGAAACTAAACAGCAGTGACGTTTGTAGGGTTACTGAAGTTGGGCTAGCTGGTATATAATGATGTGCTACGTGATCGCTAGCGACACAGCTACGTTAGCATAACATAAACGGTGAAGCTGGAGGACGAACACTTAACACTTTTCCACTTATAAAAGTTAACGTTAAGGTTCCTGATAGTTAAAGACAAATGCAATCGCATGGCAGGATGCTGTAAACGGACCAAACTTCAGTCAGGAGAACAACTGAGATAATCCATCCACAATACGAGGTTAGTCATTAATATACTGCAACAACATGGGAATAGAGCAGCTGCCAGAGAATTCAACATTAATGAACCAATGGTACAGAAGTGGAGGAAGCAAGAAGAATGAGTTTGCTAAAGTTTGATTTATCTGACTGCTTTGTTTCGCTTAATGTGCCTTATAATCCCGTGCACCTTATGGTCCGAAAAATACGTACTGCACACTGCAGTTTAATGTTGCAAAGCACCTCTTTTTAACTTCAGTGGATATTATACATGGTTATGCTCAGGATATGTCAGCCCATTTCTACTGGAAATGCCTTTTGGTTAAACTTTCAGCAAGGAATTTGCATTTGCACTGTTACATTTTTATAAAGCTTTAATGTACATAAAAACCAGCTTCTTGTTTAAGTGAAAATAAATGGAAGATTGTCTTTTTGTGCTAGTAATGTTGTGGAGTTGTATTTTGTCTCGCATCAATTATATCGTCAGTTATATCGTTATCGCAAATTTTCAAATATATATCGTGATAAATTTTTTTGGCAATATCGCCCTGCTCTAATTGGCCAATCACCAAATATGAAAACACCACACACCAGTAGGTTTAGATTCAAAGACACAATGAATGCAGTTTTACGGTCAAGGCAAGTATCTGTGTTTTTAGCTGTGTGGTAAATCTCGGTGGATTTCTGTGTGAGCACAGTGCTGGATCTCTTTCATTGTTCAACGTGACATAAACATTATAGTTGCTTATTAATACAAGTGGGTCCCAGTCAGTCTTCCTCTGTGATGTTTGGCTCTCGGCCACCATTTCACAGCTTTATTAATTCTCTCCCTTTTCACTCCCACCTCCAACCTTCTCTCTGGCTCTATAACTCATTACAGCTCATTACCACAGCCCAAGCTGAACTTGGAGATGGTTTAGAAGTTGGTGTGAATTTACCGGGAGATGGGCTTCGGCGCGCAGTGAAATTAAGAAGCCATGTCCTGTCAAGCACATGTTCTTGCACGGCTGATCTATGAGTATCTGTAGATTAAAACGGGACTTGTTCAGATAGGCTAGTTGAATTATTACTGTCTCCACTGTAGAGCTGTCACTGCTCCTACAGAGGCAGCCTGTAGTGCTACTGTGGCTGCTGCTTGTGAAATTTACAGACTGGGAGGATGTAGCCTAAAGCTGTATGCATAAACAGTTTTGCCTTTCTGATTTACTCTGTGCATTTTGTATTGTTACATTCACAATGAAATTAGAGCGTCATTACAGCACTGATCATTTTGCTCCTCTTCTTTTGCCCCTACTAACAGCCACAGCCATCTAAAAAAAAAAAAGCCAAATATGTTAGATTAAAAAATATGAATACAAATCTACAATATGACCGAGACAGTAATTGATTTTTCTGTGCCTCTGCAGAGATCCTCATTATTCTGTCTGTGTCAGCTGATAGAGAGCTCCACAAGCTGCTTGCAGTTACTCTCAGCTCAGTTGCGAGTCCCGGTGCTCACTTGCAGAATAAAACATGCAGTACTGGCCCGCCTGGGACCAGAGAGGTTGACAGTGAATCATCAGAATGTGCATAATTTGGCTGAGTGTAATTTTTGGTCAGGATGCAGTCAGAAGACAGCCTTTGCCATTTTTTCTGACTCTGTGTGATAGCGGGGCACGACACGCCTCCTACGCGAGCTTCTGGCAGTTATGACAGATAACAGTTAGTTTTGCCAGTTCCTCTGCTGCAATCGGTGCTGTTATTAAAGGCTGCCGTGTCACTGTTCACAGACCTTCACATAGACTCTGGTTAACACTGAGAAGAATTCAGATTCATCCTTGTTCGCTGACTGCTGAACCCGCTATTTAAAGCTGCGGATTACTGATGAACATGTGTTTGCTTCTCTGTTAACTGTTGTGTTTTCTTATCCTCAGGTACACAGAAGAAGAAATCCGACAGAAAGTAAGCACATTCAGACAAATGCTGATGGACAAAGAAGGCGTTATCACCAGAGAAGGCTCCCACACACAACCAATGTAAGTTACGTCGTCAGCTTTGATATCTGTGACACGTGCATTAGAAGGTCAGATTTCCTAGTGGTGCACACTAGTTTAAAATCATCAGTCAGCTGCATCTGCATTTATAACCACAGATAAATGCAAATGTAAAAAGTAAGGAAGAGAAGGGAGAAACGCCCTTCAGCCATGGTATGAGTGTTGATGTTACACAGTTTGACCACTACGTGAATTTGGTCACCACTTTTGAGTAGTGACGATACCTAAGATGCAAACGACAGAAATGAGCTTTCTCTGAAAAGTAGCTGGCCTCTCTCTGAGAGATTGAGTGAGTTCAGTCATTCAAGAGGGGCTCAGAGTAGAGGCCCTACTCCTCCACATTTAATGGACCCAGTTCAGGTGGTTCAGATATCTGACAAGTAGAGCTGGGCGATATAAGATTTTTTCATATCACGATATGTTTTTTTCATTTCAGGCGATAACGATATCTATCACGATATAACCCAAATAACTATATTTGTAAGATTTAAATGTGCCGTTGCTCACAAGTAAAATGTGAAATAATCAGCAGCTTGTTTTTATTTAAATATTTATTTCCCATAATAAGTTCAACAGGGAAGATGTACTTAAGGAACATGAGACTTTTTCAGATAAATAAAGGCAAATATTGCAAACTACACAAAAGGCAGTCGCTAAAGCGTTTAAGTTTTAAAATAGAACAAACGAAACAGACTACTAAATTGTCAATTCCACTTAGAAACAAAATATTAATTCTAAAAATAAAGCTTAGTTTGTTTTACAGAAGAACAGACAAAATTGATTAACTTTTATCAATATCAAATAAACTGAGAACCAAAAGGAAATTCTCAATCTCTCCTTGTTGTATAGCTTAGCTTTTCAAACAGTTTTAACAGTTACTTTAGTCTGACAAAAGCCGAATGACGAATTAGCGCTTCCGGTCAGAGACTGAGGCTACGTCCACACATACACGGGTATGTAGGGGCGACCGTGGCTCAGGGGGTTGGGAATCGCATCTGTAACCGGAAGGTCGCCGGTTCGATCCCTGGGCTCTCTGTCCTGGTCGTTGTGTCCTTGGGCAAGACACTTTACCCTACTTGCCTACTGGTGATGGCCAGAGGGGCCGATGGCGCGATATGGCAGCCTCGCTTCTGTCAGTCTGCCCCAGGGCAGCTGTGGCTACAACTGTAGCTTAGCTCCACAAGTGTATGAATGTGAGAGTGAATGAATAGTGGTATTGTAAAGCGCTTTAGGTGCCTTGAAAAGCGCTATATAAATCCAATCCATCATTATTATTATTTTTGAAAACGGAGATTTTCCGTTTTCGTTTTAAAAAATAATCCCGTCCACACATAAAGGGAGAAATGAAGGAAAACGCTGCTATGAACATGCCAAAGCAGCAGGTGGAGCTAGATTCCTAACCGTGCAGAAATGTTGGCCAATCAGAAGTCTAGAAGCCTCGGTGGGAAAAAGTAAACAAAGCTGGGGCATAGAAGCAGAACCGAGTCGCATGTGTGGAGGGACAGTAACTGTGTGTATATGTAAGCATTTAAACACTGCAGAGAGTAGAATTAACAGTAACAGTATTGAGTTTTCAAAAATCTTCGTTTTCAGTGACCAAAAACGCTGTACGTGTGGACGAAAGGTGCAAACGCATAGAAAAATCTGCGTTTTCAAAAATACCCGGGTACATGTGGACGTAGCGCACGCACCAGTTTATTGTATTTCCAGACTTGCTTTCGGCACAATTTACAGTGCACGCTACTCTGTTTTTTGTCAGACTTGAAGTAGCCGAAATACCTTCACACTACGGAACTTCTATGGCTCTTCCGTTCGACAATCTCTCCGGCATTGGAACCATCATCTGTTTTCTCTTCGGTAACCTTCGGTCACGCTCGGTTGATTTTTGTAGTCGGCACACTCATTTCCTCCATTACCCGGGCGGTACGGTGGCTGGCTGCTTCCCAAACAAATACACATGTGCGGCTTGGCACTTGTGCTGCACGTAACAAGTCACGTGACGTGACGCTGCGGCTGTGATTGGTTCGGCTCTGCGCTACGTAATTTGGATTGGCTGTTCTTTTCTTTTTTTTTCTTTCTTTTTTTTAAGAGGACAAGAGCGGCGAGGTCTATCGCGATAGTTTGATTTTTCTATCGAGAAAAAGTTATATCGCGATACATATCGTTATCGTTCTATCGCCCAGCTCTACTGACAAGAATGATGCCTCTTGGGCGTCTCCTGGGTGAGGTGTCTGGGGGCGCATAGACCCAGGACCAGAAGCACTTCAGTGTTCCCTGAATAAGCAGGAGGCGGTGGCTGGGCAGAGGGAGTATTAGGCTTTTCTGTTAAGGCTGCTTCCCCCACAACCCGGCTCTGGATAAGTGGAAGAAAGTGGATAGATAAATGGCCTGAGGGCAGTCTGCAACTACACTGCTGGCAACATCTTGTTTGGAATGGCACAAGCACAGCAACCTGCAGAGTCAGACAGAGCATAAACGGGTAACTTGTGCCAGTTTTTGCAACATTATCATATTATCTTAGTAAAGAATCATAAGTGCAGTAACTACACCTAACAAATGTTAAACCCATTTATGCTTTATGTGTGATAGAAAAAAAATGGTATCGGTCTTCAAAATCCCAAAAATGAAGCCCAGTGATGCCCTAACTGTTCATGTCTGGCACTACCTAAAATCCTCTTCTAGTGTTTATTAAATGGGATGTTTATTACAGAGACTCGACCCGAAAAACTCGACCTCCAAGACCCCACACACACAGTACCCACCCAGTTCTGATAGATCTGTTTTGCTCCTCTCTCTGTAGAGAGACTTTGTACATTTTCATAAATTAGGCCACTGTCCGTAAATTATAAGCAGAATTTTCTCCTCTCATCAATTTTATGCAATTCTGGTTGCCTTGCATTGTAAATTTGCCCTTAAGCTATAAATCTTTGTCTTTGTACAATAATGTTTAACAGCTACTTGTGCCAGTCGGGTCAGAGAAGAAGAGAGGAGAGGGGTGGATGTTTCTGCATAAAATTTATATATTTCATTGTTTTTTCAGAGGATTGTCCATGCATAACCAAAGAATGTATTTATATTCTTTCACAGCCTATCTCAACTCCATTTTTTGTTCGCAAACACATTGTTAGCAAAGTCATTAGGCATCATCCTTGATGATAAATTGATTAGAAAATGAATGCAGATGCTTCATAATAAATGAAACTACTATAACTAGGTAGCAATAAATAGCAAATGCTAACAGAAATTGATTTTAAAAGAGGTCATGAAAAATGGCCTGCAACTCAAATAATACCTTGAAAGCTGTTGGTTCCAAAGAACATGGACCGTAATTGCAAAAGTGCAATAAATTTTAATGGCTTTTGACTGGCACTGCCTTTCTGTGAATACACAGGGAATAGTTAAAACCCTGGTGCTTTGAAAATAATCAGTAGCATTTTAAAGTCTATTCCAAACTCTGCTGGAAGCCAATGAGGCGAAGATTGGCATGATAATTGTCAATTTGTTTAGTGCTAAGCCTCGTTCAAGCTTTAAGCGCAAGGTGGGAGGGAGAGTGCCTCTTCTGAGGCAAGCAAAGACGGAATTAAAGCAATCAAAATGAATGAATGTGTAAAAAGACTTTGTCCACGTCACAGAAAGACACAATCACAAAGGCTGGAACCTTGAAATACGGGAGGAATGGCAACAGCAGGATGTGGGTGTGGAGGCATTCCTGACTCAGTGTTCTGAACCTGTGAGTGATGGAGAGAGGCATGGTTGTGGTGGCAACCTGTCCTGCTGTCTCTGAACTAATGACTGTTAATGACGCTCATGCTTCCTGTCTCGCAGTCGCGATTAATGATTCTCCCTCCTCTGCATGTCAGCTGTTGTCTGACGTTTAACTAAACCACAGTGAAATGAAAAAGAAGGCTGGGGAGGAGGAGTTACCCACAGCCGTGATGTACAGTAAGATGAATGAGATGAACCTTTATGGTCCAAAGACGGCAAACTATAAAGACACAGGAAACTCTGCATGCTTTGCTTTTCACAGTAGTTCACTCTCAAGGGCACTTGTGAGTCAGGTCAATTTAGGATGTCTGTGCTCGCCTGAAATTCTGCAACATTCCCTCTCTACAAAGGCCTTGATGTGGAAAATTGAAGAGGCTTGTAATTTGCAGGGTTGTTATCCTCCCACTCTTCCTTATCCTTTTCGCTCACCCAGGATTTAAAAAAAATACACGCAAGCAGACCTCTGTGTGAAGTAAGCTGAAGTGAAATGCCTCTTTAGACATTAACATGCCTTAATTAATCTGACTCCTCAATTAGATATGTTGGTTGGATTGAGAAAAGGTATTACAAATTGATAAGAGATACAGGAAGTCTGAGGAAAGAAAATGACAGAATGTGATAAATCAGCTGTAGCTTAATACACTAGCAATAAACAGCCAGCAGTAAGCTGTGGCTACCTCATAACTCTGTTTACTGGTGTCCCACATTGATTTCCTGAAGAATGGATGGGAATGTGGAGCGAGACAAGGAATGCAGCATGTAAAGCCTCTCAGAGCCTTTCGTGCTTACTTACCAAGGCTGCCCCTCAGTTTCAGATAGCAGTTCAATATCTGATGTAATACCTGAGACCAGCCTTTCCTTATTAGGAAACAGAAATATATCTTATTTTGTATAGAAGTGGTTTTATCTTATCTAAACATTGTGCATCCACAAGATTAAGGTTTTTCCCCGACGACCATCTAATCAATCAGCTCGGCTTATAGAAATCCCAGCACAGTAAACTTTTCATCTCAATATGACAACTCTAAAGTCTTTGTAGTTTGCCCCCATACATATAATGAAGAGTAATCCATACAGCCACCACCTGCCTCCTCCCCAGAATAACAAACTATAACTCTCTGCAGCAACAGAAACATGTGCAGGACTTCACGAGCAGAGTGGTTGTCTGAAAGAGGCTATGAATGAGTTGCACTACTTGGTGCTACAGCCCTAGGGAG